CAACTATGTAAAGCAGCGGCAGCACCAAATTGTTCACATAGCACTTCTAATTAAAATCTGGGTGATACAGATGATCCATGATCCAAGATGAACTGCGAGGATTCACAGCTGTCCTCTGGGAATCAGACTCACAAAATCAATTTGTTTGAGGCTTAGAAAACACAAGAGGACCTGCAATGGCTGATGATAATTTTTGCATGAGAGTTCCTCCTGCAATGGCTGATGATAACTTTTGCATGAGAGTTCCTCCACACCTTGAAAAATTGACACTGACTGAACAAAGGCACAAATCACTTAGAATATTTACTCTATCTTTCTTCAGGGTGTCCATACAAATAATAAAGCTATGTTTTTCCTTTCCAGTGTTGTCATTTACTCCAGTAATTTAGAGGTCAACATTCAAAAAGCCTGAAGGTTTTTGATCTCATTGGCAACTATGAGATTAAGCATGATCACATGTTTTCAAAAATCTGGATTCAGATATGAAAAGTATTTCCAGCTGCAATTCATTACCAAAACCAACTGACTTCCTCAAGATATTTTGCTTTCTTTGTTCTACATATGTTTCCACAAATTTAATTTGAGGCTGAATACTGGTTACTTGTTAGTATTCTGATCAGTAAGTTGAACAGTTCAAGCGTTGATCTATTTTATCATACAATTTTACAGAAAAATATAGGTGATACACTAAGAAGATATATGGCATCTTTTTGTTTGTAACTAAATATCAAAAGTAATGCAAGACAGCTGAACTCTAAGCTTATATTAGCAAGTTTGCTCATGGAACCATTCCACCGAATTCCATTGGTGGACACAAAAAATGTGTTCTGTCTCGCAGACACCTTTTAGCAGTTCCACAAAACAGAAGAATACCTGCTCTGGAAAAGGGATGTTTTTGCTTGTATGATTCTGTCTACACTAGGACAATTATGGGGGTTCAAGGTGTCTCAATAACTTGTTTATTTGGTAAATAGAGCTTTCACACAGCAGGGATAAGCTTCTAAAAGAAACTTCCAAACAGGTCCACAGACCTAACCACTGCATGACAGACACAGTGTACATTTTTAATGGAAAAAATGAAATTGTTAAGAAATGCCAAGTTAGAAAAAGTTCTATAGAAGATTTAGTAAGAGACAATATTCAACAGCACAATGGCAAATGACCCTTCAGGGAATAGTTTTAAAGATCAATTCACCTCCAGTGAGGAATTCTCAATTAAAACCCGAAAGAAATTTACTCCAAAAATGAAAACAGGAGTACACATTTAAGCCAGGGGTATTGGTAAGACACTAAGAAGAGGTTCTATAAATACACCAGAAGGAAAAAACACAGAAATGAAAGTGCAGAACAATTAGCAATGAGGGAATAACAGCAAAAGATGAAACCAATGAGGCTGAATTCAACTTCTTCCTCACTTATACCCCTCCTGCTCCATGAGGGTTAATTGTAAGTAGAGAGCAAGTTACAGGACCAGGAAAAGAATAGGCTGTCATTTAATCCCCACTTATTTCGTGAGCCATAATATATTAAAGAGTTTAAGAGAACACTATAAACAATGTATGAGTGGACAACAAGATAGGAGCTATATCAAACATGAATGAAAACCTCAGTTGTGCTGATTGGAAATATCAAAACCCCTTAGAAATTAGTAAGCAATGAACAAAAAACTTTCTTCAGTCAAGGTCAGAACACCAGCTTGGTCATCAATAGCTGATACAGACTGGCATAGTCTTACATGCAACAAACAGATGGGTTCATCTTACATAGTCTAAGATTATTCACCTTGTACAGCTTTAGAAAATTTTATGTTGGCAGTGAGATTAAAAGGAAGGATTTTGGTCTGAGACAGTATTGCTTTCACACTGAGCTTGCACTCATGCTGAGCTTCTCATTTGTGTATCTAATCTCCTATTACAGCCAGCAGAGACCCTGTTCAATTCACAGGATCCCTGACTGGACACAGGTGCCTCCTGCCACTGGAGATGCCCTAGGGTTTCTCACCACTTCTGGATGATGGCCTGGAAGTGTAGACTCCAGAGATTTTGTGTGATATCTGTCATGCCATGCAAATATCCTGGCACATGAAATGGCACATGCTGCCTTTCAGTCTCCATCCCCTAAGTGCAGGATCAGGCCCTTGCTCACATGCAGGCACATATGACAGATACAGATCATGCAGGTATCCCATCTGGAGCTGGGTACTGGCCTTCAGCTCTGATCTTTGACCACCCACTAGTGATCCTAGCACCTTTTTGTATAAATATTTGTCCTATTTTTTTCTTTTCAGTTGTTTTTTCTCTTATGAATATTCTTCTTAACTATGGATTTCATATTACTTTCACATATTATTTATTCATGACTTAACTGTATTGCACTGTTATATGTTTATACACAGTCTTATCTACTTATAATCTCAGGTAGAATGTTTGTGTACAACTTTGAGAGCACAGTTTTTATACAGAAGATTCCCTGAAGTCTTACTTCCTGATGATGGGAATTAACATGTGAAATAATGTTTAGATAAACTGGAAAAATTTGCATTAGGCCAGACTCAGATAATATAGATCTGACACACAGCTGACTACAGAAGTCTCATGGGTAATGCAGAAAGCCCCAACAGCAAGCAAAAAGGCAAACATAGCTGCTATCAGGGAGAAGGAGAAGAAGAAATGTTACAGGCAAACCAGCCTAACCTGAAGAATAAGCATACAAAGCAGTTAGCACAAGATTTTTGTGAACAAGCAGTATAAAAAAATAACTCTGCCAAGATAAAAAGCCTGGACTATAAAAGGAATGCAACAAATGAGATACACCTTGTTTATGTGGCCTTTGACTTTGTTCTGCCCAATGTGCCTCAAGAATCTAACCACAGAAATATTTAGATTAAATCACCTGTAGATATGGTTGCAGAACCACATTCATGTGAACCTGAGCATCACTTTATGTGTCAGCCAAAGTTTAGTGCTGGGTCCATTATCTACCAGTAATTTCATTAATTAAGTCAATGATTTAAAAAAACCCATACAACAAAAACCACTTTTGAAACAAAATGTTAATCCCTAAGGGGATGCATTTTCAAGCCTAAATGGCCTCAAACCTGAAAAATGGTCAGAAATAAACATGAAATCAATTAAATGTGTGTAGAATACTTTACAAAGAATAAAATAGAATAAAACAAGTTAAAAAAAATACAAAATAAATCAAACTGGTTAAGTAGCAGCACAGCAGAAAAATATCTACTGGGACCACAGATTGAACAACTATTGTTACGCTAAACAAAAATATACCCATGTCCCTCTGGAGCTTGGAAGTCCATTATGACCAGTATTTAGAGCCTCAGTTAGATTGGGACAACCATTACACTTATATCACACTTAAAACGTCATGCAGCAAGTCAGAAGGATGTCAGAAAATAAAGACAAGCAGATAATATATTCAGGAAAGAAATATATATAGCGAGCTATTTTAATCTATCATGTCCATCTATACCTCTAGAAAGACATCAGTTGAACAGTAACTGATAAAACCTCATGTTCACTTGCAACCCAGATACATGAAGGATGAAAACTGCAAACCATAATCCAGAAATCCATTGGCTGTTACAAGAAGCAGTAGCTTAAAAAATGTAAGATTTTCCTCTTAAACCTCTCAGTTGGGCTTTCTGAGCTAACCTCTGGAACACATTCCCTTACACTCATAATTCTTCCCCTGCTAGATGCATCTGCCAGGACAGTATCTCACGTGTGAAGTCCAGCAGACCACCTACATCTCCCTGAACAATATGTAAGAGTTTATCAGCATTGTTTCTGCCAGTGAAGTTGTATTTATAGTAGGATATTTTGTCAGTCTTGTGGCCTGAGGAGGAAGGGAAGGGCAGGATTCATACTTGAATGTGATTTTGTGGTTGTTTATACACAGAGTTCTAGCTGAGATGGGTACACCAGCATCACCCTGAGGAAGTGGCCATGACTGTGGTCAAGGCAAAGAGCAGAAATGGCTGTAAATTGCTTTCAGAAAGAGAGAAAGCAAGACAGAGAATTACCTAATTAAATTACAATGTCTGTGTCTAATTAAGTATCTAAACCTGAGATAGCTGACTTATGCTGCCTCTGTTGGCAATGGAGATGTGGTCAGCTGAGCCCCAGGAGAAATTTATCTCACTCTCATGCAAGACTAAAAGGGCAAAACTCGCTCCAGTGAACTGCACTCCAGAAGTGACTGCTTCTCTTTAGATTGGGACAGGAGCCTGGGGTAGAAGTATTTGTTTTAGATATGCAGAAGTTTAGTGAAATCCCATCCCACAAGTGCAAAGACAAAATTAATGAAGAATGTAGAAACCAAAATGGAAAGGAAAAGCTAATGCTATTAGAAAAGAAAACAGGAGTTCAGTAAAATCTACCAATGAAATACTACAGTCAGGAACTATCAGCTAGAACTCAGCAGAATTATCTTTTACTTGATAATGATTTGATAAAAAAATATTTACATTTGCAGAGTTTGTTAGTTCTGGCAAGGTCTACAAAACTAAACTAAGTGCCACGCTTGGAGAAAAACTGTATGATAAAACAAAAATTGAGAAGTTAATTCAAGTTTCTGTAATCCTCTATGTCTATTATTATTACAATTTCGACTATTACAAGGAAAAGAAAGCACATAATTCAAGGTCAAATGACATCATTTTGTGAATTGTTGAAAGGCAATGTAAATGGAGAACTATGGCTTCTCTGAGCAATAAAATAGTAGCTTAAGCAAATACTCTTATCTACGTTTCTTTGTACTTACTGAAGTATGGTTATTGAGTAGTTTCACATGCCATAGTAAATGCTTCACAGAATATTTCAATGTAATTTTTAGAAGCAACTGGTGATAATTGAGTTTCATAAAACTGTGAAAAATATATTAATGACTAATTTATGAAACTTATGACATCAGAGAGGGGTTTTTTTTTTTCTTGAACTTAATAAATGCACACAAGTTTGTAAAAACTTTTTCAAACTTACCACTGGTGACTCTCAGCACTCCCAGCATCCAGCTGAACAGCCTTTTCAGCTTTAATCTTTCCTGTAAATATATGTACATATATGTGAAAGTACAGTATATGAAAGGGTTTATTGTACTCTTTCACATTTTAGATGACTCCCAAGAACAAAGCATCTGATTTACTATAGCAACAAAGAAATTCCTTCCTGTTCTTAGAAACATTTAGATGAACAATGTAACACCCTGGCTTTATTTCATTTACATAGTCATACCGTTACATATAAGTATATATAAACTATATATGCAATTTCAGTATTTTCCCTTAAAATCCAGTTCAGATGCAGTTAAATCAGGGAAGGATTGGACTGGAATACCAAAGGTGCCTGGAAGACTAAAGAGCCTTAAAAGCAGGTCAGACAAGCACCTATCAGAAGAACCAGCAGAGCTGTTTCCTACCTTGGATCCAGGAATAAACTAGTTGAAGTTCCTTTCTAGCACAAAGCCTTCCCTTAAGTTCCACTTGTAACTGAATAAAGATGACAGTAGGTGATTTGATCAAACCCACGCTCCCAGTAAGAAGTTCAGATGAGATGCTTGCTGTTTGCAGATTCTCAGCTGCAACCAATTAAGCTGCACTGACATTTCTGTATTGTAAGTTAACTTCATAAAAACAAAGAATAGCATACACAGTCCTCCAGCCCAGTGGAATGAAAAATAACCATGGAACTACCGCCAGCTCTCCTGCAGTCTCAAGCCCTCTGCAGCACTTCCAAAAACTGAGATGAAAAAGGCTGCCACCTTCACTTCAATGAGAAACTAAGCCAGACTAGGCTGGTTAAACACCTAAAACCCACTTTCATTCCATCATTCTTTATCTCTCCCTGTCTTTTGCTATGCCATTATCGTTCATCAGCTGAGGTTACATGCAGTCACAGAATCACAGAATATGGAGTTGGAAAGGACCTACAAAGATCATTGAATCCAACTCCTGGCCTGCACAGGACCACCCCAGAGTCACACCATGTGCCTGACAGCATTATCCCAATGTTGCTTGAACTCCGTCAGGCTGGTGCTGTGACGACTTCCCTGGGAAACCTGTTCCAGTGCCCAGCCATACTCCAGTGAAGAACCTTTTCCAAATATCCAACCTAAACCTCCACTGACACAACTTTAGGCCATTCCATTGGGTCCTGTCACTGGGCACCACAGAGATCAGTGTCTGCCCTTCCTCTTCCACTCACAAGGAAATGGTAACTGCGATGAGGTTTCCCCTCAGTCTCCTCCAGTCTGAACAGAACAAGTGACCTCAGCTGCTTCTCATATGGCTTCCCCTCAAGTCTCTTCACCATTCTCATGACCCTCCTTCGAATGCTCCCCAATAGTTTAATGTCTTTTTTACATTGTGTCACCTGACACTGTCCCCAGCACTCAACATGAGGCTGCCCCAGCTCAGAGCAGAGCAGGACAATCCCCTCCCTTGCCCAGCTGGCCATGCTGTGCCTGATGCCCCCCAGGACAGAGTTGGCCCCTCCTGGCTGCCAGGGCACTGCTGGCTCAGGTTCAACTTGACAGCAACCAGGATCCATGGTGCTGCTTCCCAGCATTTCATTCTCCAGCCTGTCTGTACACACAGGGTTGTCCCATCCCAGGTGCAGAATCCGGCACTTTCCCTTGTTGAACTTCATACAGTTGGTGATTGCCCAGCCCTCTGATTTGTTGAGGTCTCTCTGCCCTCAAGGGACTCAGCAGCTCCTCCCAGTTTTTCATCCTCTGTGAACTTGCCCTGTATCCCTTCCAGCCCTGTGTCCAAGTCATTTATGAAGATTTTGAAGAGCAGAGGGCTGAGAATGGAGCCCTCTGGAACACCCCTAGTGACAGGTCCCCAGTCTGATGTCACCTCATTCACTGTAACCCTTTGTGCCTGACCTGTGAGCCAGTTGCCCACCCATCCCATGATGTGTTCATCCAGCTGTGTGCTGGACATTTTGTCCAGAAGGATCCTGTGAGAGAGAGTATCAAAAGCTTTACTGAGATAAAAAAGATTACATCGATAGGATTCCCCTGACGAGCTAGGTGGGGTACTTTGTCATAAAAGGAAATCAGGTTTGATAAGCAGGACTTTCCTCTCATGAAGCCACGCTGCCTGTGACCAATGACTGCATTGTCCTCCATATGTTTTTCTATACCTCCCAGAATTATCTTCTCCGTAACTTTACTAGGCACAGATTTTTAGGAATACTGCTGGAGCAGCAGATCCTACACAATTTCCAAGTTGTCTGGGAATTGATCATTCTTGCAGCCACAGTCCTCCAGTTCAGGGTATTGATAACCCCTTGTTCCATCATCCATGTTGAGGACAGAGGCAAAGAATACATTAAACATCTCTGCCTTGTCCCTCTCCCTGTTTGTGAGCCAACCACCCTCATCCTGTAATGGGCTGATGTTATTTTTGCACTGCCTATTGCCATTAATACATTTGAAAAAATTCTTTTTATTGTCCCCCAAAGTTCTGGCTACCTTCAAGTCCAGTCAATAGTAAAAGCAAAGGACCCAACAACAGAATTTACTGTTTCCATTTACTTTGTGTCGTAATCCTCACTGCACACTAGGATTTATGTACAAAGCCAAGTTGTTACTAAAGCAAAGACAGCATAAATTAAGTTGCTAAGACAGGGTAAGTCTTCAGGAGTATTTAGATGACAAAAGGATTGGAAAAAGAAAGAACCTTGAACAAATTGAGATTGTCTGTGGAAGATGTTACAACAGCATGAAGGCATGACACTACCTTTAAAGATGACAAAGAACAGCTGACACTGCTTTTTCAGTGACATTGTCACTGCCAACAGAACAAAAAGTCAATGAGAGGTGTCACAAAAGACAAAATAACCCAAACTTGGGTTACACTTATAAAACCTGATTTGGTGTAGCTAAAAAGGAAGGGGCAATGAAGAGACAAAAGAAAGAGAGAAGTACTCCAAGATAAAGGCAAGAAGGATTATTTTTGAACAGTGCCTTGACTGGAGGAGAGTGACACAGTGTAGAGAAGATGTAAGTTTTAATATAATAAAAAGAAGGCCCAAAGTAAAAAGGGAAACAAACTGTTCCTCTAGCCAATACACATCCAGACAGTGAAAGGGCAATGCTTTTAAAAGCAACCAAAAAAAAAAAAAGTACTATGATGAAGAAAATTAAAATCTTGTGGAGATAAGTTGTCAAACAGGACACATGGGGAGAGATGTCTGGAAGCAACACCAATCGTCACAAATGACTTCTGTTTCTGGTCAACAGCTCTTCCAGATTCACAAAGTTTCATCCCTGCCATCACCACAAAAGAGGCTGCTGATATGCAGGAGTGCTCCTTGAACACAGGAAGCAGAAAAACAAACCCTGACCCCGCCTCAGCATTTATTTATTCCTCTTGCTCTTCCAAAGACGTAATTAAGAAACCGTGGTGACAGCATCTGGGAGTTTTCACATCTGTTTCTCAACAAAATACAGGATTTTAAGGCAATCTGCAGAGACAATAGCCTCCAAATTATGACCCATAATACTTCTCTGCCACTGATTTTGGATCTCTCATTGAAGAAAGAATTAACTGAAGTTGTAAACTGTGGTGGTTTACTGCACAAAACATTATCATTACAGTACAAATGCTCCCATTTATTGGATTGCAAATTCCTTATATTGGAAAACTTAACCAAAGTTCAGAGCATGTTTCACTACATTCAAATGACATTCTTCATAAACATTTTTCCTCTTACCATCAGTTACATATTTCCTTTTCTCCTCAGCATCAGCAGTCATCTCAAACAGATCTCCATAAGCACGTGCAAGCCTCCAAAGAAAGTCCACACAGTTTTCATACTGAAAGTAGAGGACAGCTACATAATTAAACTCATCAGAATGTGATTTAAACAGTTTACTCCCACAATGCTTAAAATTAATGACATGCTTAAAGCAAGTAATAAGAAGATGGCATAATATTTTGTTAATTTTCCATCCTTCTACATAATACTTGTAGTTCATGTGAGAACCAATTGACTAATTTTCAGTGAACAAGAGAATACAGCTTTTGTAAACACCCTAGACTGTCTAAAGAGGTTTTATTTTATGAATCAGTTTAAACTTCTTTTAATATACACATTTACAAGGTAATCCAGTAAAGCACAACGAATCCCTGAACAAAGTGATGTGTATTTTCTTTAGGGAAGCCATAAGCACCACACTCACACACAAGATCTCATTTATCTTCCTTGGTATTCCAATATTCAGATGAAAACACAATCAGAACTAATGCTTGCCAAACCAGAATAAAATGGAGTTACATATGGGCCCAGTAAAGTCAAAGGAAAAATTCACATGAAGGATATTAGAAAGGTATGAGCAGCCTAGATGCTCATAGTTTGACAACAGTAGGTCTGGTTACTACTTAATTCTACAGGATTCTCTCACACAGACTATTCCAAAACCAGGAGAAGTAAGTATAATTTACATTGAAAAAAGCCCATGATTTTTCTTTGTTTTATGCAAGAATTCTTATGTCAAACAAATTCTTAAAGTTATTGAATTAGAATGGGATAGAAAATAGTAGAACTCTTATGCCCACACATGAATATTGACACCACTTTGAAATACTGCTTTTTGACTGTATTTTAAAATTATGCTTGAAATTTCATCATCCATTTCTATGTGCATTTTAAAGCTTGTATTTAGTTCTCAAAAGCAGTGTAAAGTAGAAGTTAACAGCAACATAATATTAGTTTACCCACAATACCTTGTCATCTTTCTCAAGCAGCAGTCTGAAGCCCTCCTTTTTATCATCCTCTGAACCCTTGTGCAAATTGTCCACCTGCTGTAAAAAGTTAAATAAGTCTTCATCTTCTTCTGATTTCACCATGGCATCAAGTGATTTCATACATCTCTTTTCTTCCTCGGAGTCTGCTTCAGAATCAGTATGAGCGGTAAGGTAACTAAAATCACAGAAAATAATAACCATTACTTTCTTTCTTTAAAAAAGGACATTGCTAAATTAAAAAGCAAAAAATTCAGAGCACAATTTATCCCAGTTGTCCAACTTTAAAGGATTTTTATTAATGATATCAAGCTTATTGTTATTATTACAAAACCCTTATCTTCAAAGGCACAGCACAGTCATATTCCAAACATAACAGGTAAGTAATTATACTGTCCTGCTGCCTAATACTCCATTAAAAAAATGCAGATATATATTAGAAACACATGTAGCCTTGTGTTTCAAATGCAGAACACTTGAAATCATGAATGTGTTTTAAGACATGCTCTGTAACCCTGAATAGGCCTCTTCAACTCTTTACCTCAATTTCCCTGTTTTTTGAAAGAGGAATGAGCTTACTTACCAAAATATAAATGCTATTACAACCCTTTATGCAATATTTTCTTTAACACTTTTAAAATCTAAATACAAGCCAATAAAAATAACACCATTGTTATAAATTCCTTATTTCTTCTGAGCATTCTGAAGTTCGGAGTATCTGAAATTGAGCTTATATCAATTCATGATGATTAGTGCACAAGTACTTAGCACAAGGTGGTCAAGGGCAAAGAAATATTTGCAAAAGCATAAATATCACACAGAGATAAGCAGGTGGCATTACTGTCCAAAGTGCTGAGAATACATTAAGGTACTCTGATTTCAAAGAGAAGCAGCTGATGGCACTGTTTTTAAGAAGCAGCCTTTTGCTTATGGACTAAAAATGGACAGATAAGCCTCATTTTTCTGCATTTCTACTTTTGAAAATAATGCTCTGGGTAGAAGTAATAATGTAAACCTATCAGCTGCTGCCAGGTTCAGAGATTTTCTAAGTGGTTTCTCTGAGTATGAAAAGCATGGAATATACTATACACATTAAGTAACTGAATAAATTAAGTAGGCCATGACAGTCAGACTATATAAATTTTTATTTTTTTTTCAGAAATATAACCAGGACAGAATGCTAGAAGTCAAAATGAAGGTTATTAATCATGGCTTTCAAATATCTTGTTTTCAATATGTTGCTTTCAGAACAGATCAGTATATCAGAGCAGATACATTTACAGCTGGTAAATGAACAAGTACAACTGCTTATGAAGCTACAGAAGTGCTAGATATGGCATGACAGTTTTGCTGCAAAATTAACCCAGTGACAAAGGAAAGAGGAGTCAAAATTACATTTGGATAAAACAATATATACACAGACCATGTGTATATATTGAAAAATATCATGGAGCAGAACAGAGTTGGGAAACTTCATATGTTTATACAGAGTTGTTTTACATAATCTTGATGATGCTGAAGCTGATGACACATCCTGTGGTCTATCTTGCAGAGACTATATTCAGCCACTGAACACTTATGTTAATTTTCTGAAGGATGTTAGTAAACACAGCATATTGTTCTTTCATATTTTTTCTGAAGCGGGCAGAGAAATATATCATGGCTGCACTTGTAAGAGCCAATCAAATGTACAAGAGAGTTCCTGGGGAGCGGAACAATCTTTTAGCACCAATACAAAACTCTATGACGTGAAGTATGTTTGGAAATTATCTTTCCTCACATGGTTTAGATGCTCCATTCTCCCTAATTAAAAGAAAAATACACTGAGGATCTGGGCAATTCTCAACCCAAAATAAGGGCACTAGATAATATAAAAGAGCAACAACTAAGCAGTAAAGACAATATCCTTAGTTACAGGAGTTTGGGGACTGCATCAAATGTTACTTAATCAGGTAGATATGAAGATGAGGAATCAGTGTTTGGAAATCAGTGTGGATGTTGTATTCTTTGCCTTTGCTGCATAAACATCTGCTAAAATTTCTATGATCACCAGTGTTAGATAACAGATAGAACTGATTAGTAGAAAATGCTATAATTGCATTTATATATGCAAAAACATAATGGCTGGATTACAAATACAAGGTTGGGTTGACACCCAAGCCCATTGGGCTGTCAGTCCAAACAAGCCCAGCAGATTTCCAGCAGCACTATATGAAATGTTATGACAGAACATCAAATTGAGGCCAAACATCAAATTCACATGGCATCAGGTAAGTCATATATTTCTTGGGAGACTCATAGAAAAAATGTGAAATAGATCTAACAGATCACGTAAACCCAAAAGGAGCCAATTACAAAACAGCAGAAAGGGCAGGATCATTTCTTAGCTATTCCCTCTCCTACCTCCTCTATTTACCTGCTTTATGAACCTTCAATGAATTTAAATGTGGAACAGGCCCTCTTAAATGTTGATTAGAATGTCATAAATTTCAATTTAATTGTTGAACAATATCTGCCTTCAACAAAGCAGCTAAAAGTCTTACACATTTATCCATTCTAAAGCACTAAAATCAGTACCGACACAAACAGAACTGGAGATTCTTCTTAGTAGAGTTTAAAAACTCTGGGACTTTAAGGACTGATAACCCTCCTCAAAAAAAGAAATAAACAGAAAACAAGGAACAGTCATTATAGTTTGTTTTACAAATATTTCATACAACAGAAATCTGCAATTTTCCCTGGTATTTTCCTGCATCTGTTTTATCAGATGATAAGCAGAAAAGTGAGTATTTACAAGTGATAAACACAATAGTTTGTGATATATTGATCAATATTTGAGAAAATAGAAGCACATTAAAAAAATGTCGAGAGTCAGTGCCAGCTTGTTTTCATCTTTATTACCAACCGATTTTAAATAAAAGAAAACCAGTGATAAGAATGTGAGGAGCAACAATCAACTGATAGGACCCAGCTGTATCACAATGGACTGTTCAAAGTTCAAAGAACAAATGGAAACTGTGAGCGCTGGAGACTCACTCCACTGTGGCTAAGCAGCTCAGTAAATCCCAGCATCTAGTACCAGATAAAAACAAACCCTGGGCTACATGGTGTAAAACACCCCTGTGGTATAAACACACTTGGGTGGTTCAAAACCTGTGTTGGGGTGTTCGTAAATTGGCAGACATTGGGCCTAGCCAGGTATCATTTGTTCACAACACTTCAGCTTTTAGACAGATCAAATATCATTTGTCGTTGTCTCCCTGCCAACTTAGAAAAAAATCACAAGCTGACACAAACACCTTCTCATCTGCTCTGGCTAATTCCACAAAAAGGTGATTATAGGTCACAGATGGATCAGGATCAAATTTTCACTGTATGATCCAGCAAAGTACATATGCATCAGTAATGATAAGTGGCTTTCAAGATTGTCAAATTGGATTTTAGGCCAATTGAAGGCTGCATTTAAAAGAAATGAACAGAAAAACAAATTAGAAAATGCTAAGTGATAGTCAGAAGCAGGCAAGGGAAATTTTTTTCCCTGTTGACTAAACTATTTCAATGAAAAATTATAAATAGAACATCTGTCAGAGAAGAATTTACTGCAGTGAATCTTTCTGGTGCCTGATGCCAAATGCAATTTGAAGAGCTTGGATGCTGGGCCATCTGAAGATGGGTGCTGAACATGACACTGATTTCCATGGTTCATCACTGCCATATCAGGGAGGAAACAGCTTGAAAATCACAAAGAGGAGAATTCGGTGACATGGTCCATTCCAGGTGATCATCTAGACACAATTTATTGTATTTGTAAATGAATGAGTGCTTGTTACAAATTTCCAAACGTTAAACATTGAAGCTTTTACTACAACATTACTGGAACGGAAACAAATTAAAAAAAAAAAAAAATAGTATACAGAAAAGCACAGACTAGAAACCACAGACCCTTTACCATTTAATGTCTCATCCATTCAGTACACCTTCATTCAGATTGTCATTATGTAAAAATATAGCTCATTTATTAAAACACATATGCTCTTTCCCCACTTACAGAAATACATAATTTTTGTAAGGATAAACAGAAAGCTTCTCTTCCTAAGGTGTTGAATACAAACAGTGACATTGAAAACATACCTAGAGCAGATCAAAGCAGTGAGGGCCTTATCAGAGACTGTCACCTTCCAACATTTAATGAAAAAACTAGGTAGTATTAAAAGCTTTTCTGAAAGAAGTTTATAAACCTGTAAACAATGTATTCATCCAGCAAAAATCCATAATGCTCTTCGGATTAGTTTATCTGTCAGTTCCCAGCATCTACCCATTTGTCAATTAAAACCAGAAGTGCTTAACTCAAGCAAAATCCTATCTTCTAGATCATGAAATTACTGCTGAGGCAATGAAACGCATTGCACGTACTTTAGATGGTAGTACAGAAAGGTGAAAAAATGTTTTATCAGTAACAAAGAGCAAATTTTTTTTTTCTGTAGTGCACAAACACTGAATGCACCATCGTGTGTGGAATTCACCACAGAAGAATATAAAGCAATGCACATGGTGTAGCACCCACAGCATATGAAGTGGTGATGTACAGTAAGTGGAAAAACCCCAAGTGTTGCTATTGACCCTCCTGGCCATTAAAGTAATAGAAGACCCCAGAAAAAGCTATATATATTGCAACTGTACATGTTAAGATTAACAACCTATTTGTAAGAGGAAGAAAAAAAAATACTATTTAAATAAATGAAATCAAATTTTCTCAACTTTAGAGAAGATATGAAAAACAAGCACATCAAGTACAAGGTGTTAATAGGAAAAAAGCCCACCTCTTTTCAAAAGGGGTTGAAAAACAGCATTAGGAAAGGACATAGCCAAATGACTAATGCTAACTATAACCTTGAATTATCTTCCTGGCTTCTGACTGTACACAAATACTTGTCAGAGAAGGCCTCTCTTAAGGACACACTCAATGCTCTTGCACACTATAATCGCTTGTATTGGGTCACCACATCAGCTTCTTCGTCACACAGAAGAACCTGAACACACAAGTTTCCTCAGCTTGTTCTCAAAGAGCAACACATCACTCCTGATCAGAAAACAGGATTTTCTCAAGTGCTACGTTTGCAATAACCCCTGCACTGCATCTGTGGACCTGGTAATTCATAAACTAGTCCCTTTGCCTTATTTGCATCTCTGAATATTTTATTCATAACAAGAAGGCCTATGCAAACCAACCAATGGATAAAATAATCTAAGAGAATCAAGATGTTTCCACACCAGATGAAGGAGGAATGTCATCGAATACTTATGCCAATCCTGAATACTTAAAATAAAGAACTGGTTCATAATAGAACTGACAGGTCTTAAAATATGGTATCAAAATATAAGACTTGTGAACCATGTGGGCTGGGATATAACACAAAAAAAATTCTGCTCACAGGAACTGAAAATGAATGTGGAGAAACTCTTAAATATAGAATTCCATTAATATGCAGCATGTTATCTGTCTTCAGAATATTACAGTTAGTTAAAATATTTTAAAGAGAAAAGGTGACATATGATAGGCAATTTTCAGACATAATGCTGCCTACACAGACGTGTAAGACATGCTGAGAAATGGCTCAAAAAAACTCAGTTGCTATAAACATAGTATTAGTAAATTGCATATAAGTATCTAATGTGATTATACCAAAACAAAGTTGTAATTACAGGAGATTAATGTCAAGACAAAAATATATTGCCTTCTCCTGAGCCACCAGAAAGTGTATACAGCAGCACATATACATAAACATTGCCATTTATACAGAGGTTCTGCTCAGACGTAGCTCCCATAGTATACGATGCCTCTAGGCAGAGCACTGTAATAACTCATCTGTGAGGCTGATAAAAACCAATTATCAGGAAAAGCACATGAGCAATCATACAGTTTGAACAAACTCTGTCGAAGACACACTTTGCACTAGAAGCACTTTTAAAATTACACCATTATTCTGAACTTTGCCTCTCATTGCATAGCTATGTAGCAATACTGCATCGGTGTTACCACACTCTTAAAAAAAAAAATAAATCTGTATTATGCTTGGCACTAAGCCAACTTCAGCCATGGTGCAGATTCAGAGATGGTCACCAAGAATCTTCTCTGATCTAAAAAACATTAATCTGAACATTTGTATCCTTTTCCCAGAAGTATAAAACCTATATTAAACTTTTAAAGGGCTCCTGTTTACAGTTTCATATAGGTAATGATGCAACTTTCACTGCATGTGTACAGTAGAATATACAATTATTAACTCACCCTCCTTCACTTTCTGCCTCCTCAGAGCTGGTAGTTTCTCTTGCACCAGAAGCTGTCTCTGCTTTCCTCCGCCTTGTTGCTCTGTGTGATGGACTAACTCTCTGAACATCACCTTTTCCTTGAAGCTCATTTCGAACAAGCTCTTCAAGTTTTGGAATAGCTTCTTTCAGAAATTCCACCTCTCTCTTCAGTTCATCTACGCTTAGTAGCAGGCCGTTTAATTTTTCTAGTATCTGCAATTGCCTTCCATGTAAAACCATTACTGCTCCTTGCTCATTAGGAGCCTCGTTTTGCAAGACCACAGAATTAATTCTGTTACCTATATCCTGGAACGCACGTATACGCACAGCTGCGCCAGACTTTCGGATCTTGTGGTACCAAACCAGTACCAGGCTTAATCCAGCAGTCCCTGCCATTATTCCCAGTATTAGTCCTTTATTTTCGAAGGGAGACATTTCTGCACGCTCCTAGAACTGTGAAACAACAATAACAGAGTTTAAGATGTTTTCCCCTGCTCCGCGCAAGCGACTTGCTCTGTTCTGAAATCACGAAAGTGTAAAGCAGGAAGAACTGCAGACACAAAGTTACTCTTTTTGCAGGTTCTGCAATACAAGGCAGCAAAAACAAGACGAAAGCGGGTTTGGGGGTGTGAAGGGCGCTGGCACGTGGGCAGGACCGCAGCCTTCACTCTTAACCGTCCCGGCATCGGGATTAGTTTGTTTTAATGCGAGAAACTCACATAATCGGATTTTTCTCTACCGCAGAGAGGCGGAAACCCAGCTGTCAGGCCGGAGCGCCGCCCGGAGGGGCGTCACGCCGGTCCCCCAGCCCCGCCGCGCCGAG